TTATATGTATATCCATTAAAAACAGAAATCAAAGATGAGAGCCTGTTTTTATTCAGTGAAATTTGACAAGGCAAATTACAGAAGATGCAAAGATGGATATGGTTATTTGAAATGACTTTACCTTCTAAATTTTACCATGTTTTTATAGACCTTGTGTTTTAAGGAGATTCTCGATAATATCGCAAAACATTTAAAGACTAAAGAGGAAATAGCTTTTCATTAAATTGGTAATAAATTTAAGAGACAATAATTTAGGAAATTCGCCATAAAAAAATGAATCTCGCCCAATATTCTAAACGATATATTTCTTTACTTGAAGCAGATGTTTAACAAAAAGCATTTATAATAAAATATAATTTACACTTCTCTTCTCACTTCTCTGTTCATTTCCTCGTCTAATTAAAAAATAACAAAAACGTTACAAATATCCCATGTTAAAGTGCCTTGGCAAAAAAAAAACAAAATAAATTAATAATAATAATATTTTATTTATTTATTTTGTTTTTTGTCAAGACATCTTTCCTTGGGTATAGTATGTGATATCTACATCTAACATATATTTATTTTTATAACCGAAAAGATAACAAAAATATCAAGAAATTACTAAAGACAAACACACAGCCGTATACATAGCACATATATAGATAAATAACTCGATAAACAAAAAGAAGGAAATGTATGATAGGCCCAAGAGTTGATGAATTTAATTTTCCCATAGGCTTAAAAGATTAAAATTGTTTGGAAGCTTTTCAGGACATTGACATGAAGGAATTTGACTTTTTGTAATGATTATTTAATATCTACTTACATATCCCTTTATGCCAACAGATCATTTATCGATTAATCAAAAGTCGACTTACATATTCCTATTTGCCTACACATGATGGGATCTTGGTGGACATTATTAAAAGAGTAGAAAAACATTCCTTAAAACCATAAAACAGTCCTGATATTCTTTTAAAATACTTTCTAAATTGTCAACAAGTTTTTATTACTTTCCCCTCAAAATTACTCCAAATTAATTTTTTATTTATATTTATATTTTTATAAAATATAAGCAAGATATACTTAACATATTTGCATTTAAAGTTAATAATAATACAAAATGTGTTATTTTTTAAAAATAAATCGACCAGACACAGTTGTGTAGGGCACTCCTACATTGCCCGTCTGCGTATTTTTATGCATCCGCCAATGCACGAGGGCATAAAATGCGTAAAATTACAAAAGCCCGATATTTTTATGATTGCATTGTTGTAATGCAGCATTCCGCTTAGTTTTTTGTTCTCCGTTTTGCAACGACTTAAAACAAATATGAAATTAAGAAGAAAAATAGCTGATATAATGAAATGACAACTAAATTAATGGCATCTGGTTGATTTTAATTTAAATAATTTCCCCCGGTTTCCTGTGTGTGTGTGAGTGAGGTTATAGATACTACAAATTGTGTAAATTGATGCATTGTTGGAGGGGGAGGTAAGGAAGGAAAGGATCCATACAACTCATACTCATAGCCACAATAAATACATATTTTCCATGGAATTACAAAAAGCTTAAGAATAGAACAATGCCAGCGAATGAAAGACTAGTAGAACATTTCAAAGAAAAAGCAACAACAACACTAAGACAGTATGAAACGCTTTAAGGCTTCATATTCTAATTAGGTTCCCATGGCAATGGCTAATGGAGAGCAAAGGAAGTTCTATAAGTGATGGGGTGGTTGGCTGGGTGGGTGTTTGTAAAGTGGAACAGAGGCCAGGCAAAAGGGTTATTGAGCTTTCAATTAATTGAAAAAAAAAAACCAAAAACATTTAATAATAGAATCATTCACATCTCCTGTTTGTGCTCGAGTAGACAGCAGCTCGCCACAGTCACGCGTATCTTATCTTATGCAATTGTTTAACAAAAAAAAAGCAAAACAACACTGAAATTAAATAGCTTTTATTTACTTTTAATTTGCACAGAAAAGCGCAGCAATCAAAACAAAAACAAATCTATCTTATCAATGAAAATTGTGGTGGTGGTGAAATGCCTGGGAGAGCAGGGGCGCAAAACCTAGAGATAGCCAGGCGGCCTGAAGATGTTGTGTTAACAAATACCTACTCATAAATAAATGAAATTAAGTCCGTAAAATAAATTAATAAATTTATTTTCCTCCTTTTCAAGATAGTTCGTTGATGGGGGGGGGGGGGGGGGGGGGTGTGCTAATAGTTGTTGACACAATAATCTAAAGAAAGGGTTGGGGGAGTAGACAGTTGTGGGTATATACCTCCTGTTCTAGATAACCCATATATGTACCTATACAGCTATAGTTCACATGTTTGTGGGCAATATTATTCTACCACCATTCATTTCCAGTGCACATTTCTTTTAGTTGTTGCTTTTTTTGTATTTATTTCCATTTCATAGATAAAGTCATTGTGTGTCAATCACAATTCATTCATGCCAATGAAGAGTACGTTTTATAGGCAAAATCTACAGCAAAAGAGAGAAAGAGGAGGTTGTGAGTGTCAGAGAAATAAAGAACAAACACAAAAAATCTACAAACAGCATTGAACAGAGAATGATTAAATAATGACACATACTACGTACCACCGAACGGCAGTCTGTCTGTCGGTCTGTGAGTCTGATTTTTTGTTTGCTGTTTTTTTATTTTCGTTTTTGTTTTTTTGGGAGGAAGTCAAATGAACGAAACAATTCGGTTTTTGAGATCATTCCCATTCATAGACATCCGGAAATTAATAAGAGACAGAGAGTGGAGAGAAAGAAAGAGTGCGCGCAAATACCCAGTTAGATGGACATGACAATTTCAATTATCATCTCAAGTATGTTTTCTCTATAGAGAATAGCGGTATAACACTTAATTTAGAGATTAACTCTTAATTGTGACGGAAAATGTTTGTCATTTGCTTTTTTTGGCAAGGAGAATGCCACTTGCCATGCAAAGCCTTATATGGGCATATAGGAAATGTAAATTAATGGGGTTTATAGTACCGTATTCAGAAAGAGCCTACATAAAATACATTCTGTGAAATAAATGACAATGAGTTTTTAATAAAAAAAAACAACGAAAACGTTTTTTTAAGATATTTGCATTTAAAGTTATTATTTCCAATATCATCGATTCTTAGCGAAAAATTACAAATTGCACCACGGATTTATAACTTACTGTATAGAATTGACCCAAGACAAAGAGAAAATAAAATAATTAGCATTTTTTTAAATTAATATCTTCTCTAAAATAATACACCTATTGCTGGCATGATCACTTCTGTTGCCGGTTGCATTGTAAAATATCAAAATACACCTGTCAATGTAAATTAATCTGCATAGAACTTTTGGGGATAGAGGATCGTCTAAATGCCTCCAAAAAGAAGGTCTCAGGTTTTCCCTTTGAACTTTTCACACCAAATCTCTGGTTGGGTTGTTTAATATACTAACAGGGTGAGATGAAAAAACTGCAACAAACTTCAGACTGCTGTCATTTCTAAGCCACTCGTCAGACAGCTGTTAAAATTATTCCAGTGACAGCTCATTATATTGTTTACAAGCGTACAAAAGCATTTTTGTGAGAATTTTCCAGAAAAAAGTTATTAGTGATGGTATCCAAGTGGCTATCGTAAGAGCACTCCAGCATTTAAATGTGAATCAATATTTTGTGTCTCGTACCATCGCTCGTTACCGTGATACTGGTAGCGTAGCCCGTCGTCAAGGAAGTTGACGGAAGAAAACAGCAACATCAGAAGAAATGGTTGGAAAAGCAAAGAAGCGACCTGTTAGAAACCCGTGTCGCAGTGGGCGAAAAATGGCTCGTGAGCTGAATATATCGCAATATGCTATTCGCAAATATTGAATGGAATGAGCTCGAGGTAAAGCCATTGAAATTCCAAAAAGTGCAAGAACTTACACCGCAACAGAAAGAAAATAGAGTTGCTTCGCTTGGCCGAAAGTGGTGAACTGCCGAATATGATTTTCTCCGATGAAAACATTCGTTGTCCAGTAAAATAATCTGGATGGTGTATTTAAGCCTTGGGCACGCAAACATTTTGGCCGCAGACCTTGGACATTCCAACAGGAATCCGCACCATCGCACTCAGTACGCGCCACCCAAGAATGGTTACAAAATGAGGTTCCTCGCTTCATTTCCAGCCCACAATGACCACCCAAAATCTCCGGATACCAATCCGTTGGACTATTGTGTCTGGAGTATTTTGAAAAGCAAGGTTGGCACTAAAAAATACCAAAGTGTCGATCGCCTCAAGCAAGCCCAAAGCTCGCCTGACTGTTCACTTCTTCAACCGTTTTAGAATTTTCGTTGTTCGTAAATCTTAGATTGAACTTTTCCAAAATATCAAAAACACATAAGGAAGTCGCTCGAATTTGAGTTGTTGGAGTACCTTTGATTGGCAGAAAAGTGGTTTTTTCCAGTTAATCTAGATATTACAGGGGAAAACTCCTTCATTATGTTTGACGAAAATAATTTTTATATAATGTTTTGATTTATTTTTTCCTTTTTTATTCAATATCCAATGCATTTTCTCCCCCCATTTCAAAAAAATCAGCAAAATTAAACATGCCGCCACCAACTACCCTCGTTAAAATCGCCTTAAATAAATTTCGACTGCTTGTAAATTGTGTCAATATGATAAGTAAACAGTTTTTTTTCCTTTCGTTAATTCGTTACTGTAACCAATTAGGAGGGGTTCCTCACACTCACAACCACCGGCTCGGGAAATTAGTGCACGTACTTTAAAAGAATTTCATAAATAAACAATTTTTTCTTTTGTTTTTCCATATCAGAAAAAAAAGAGCAGCAGCATATTTGGTAGATAAGAAGTCGTTGACCTACGCGCGCGCTACACATGCATACACATGTTTACACTTGACCACTGACTGGGTCGGTTGGAAGTAAACCAACAATCAAACAAAAGAAAAAGGAAAGGTAACAGAAATCCCATTCACATGACAACAATGTGTGGTTGACAGGTTGGAAGACTTACCTCTTAATGAAACCACGCGACAACCATCCTGCTTGAGACGTTTGTGCAAGACATTAATGGTGGTATCGGGACTAACACCAATCACCGGTCCCCCACCACCGCCAGCCGATGAGGTACTCAGGTCCATGGACTGGCCACAATCCTGTTGATTACCCACACCCACATCATTGTAGAGCACAAACAGGCTAACCTTATACCCATTGTGGATGCGCTCCTTCAGTTCCGGCGATTTTATGGTCGACAAAAGATCTATTTTGCCAGCCGCCAAACGCCTCAGCATTATGCTGGGTATTGAAAAGTTGACGGCCGAGCGTATATGGCACTCACTGAACTCATTGGAGCTGCGACAGTCCAATATGATCAAATCTTTGGCATCACGTAACGACGAAGAGGCTGATATGGAGCGCAGCTTCGTTTGCAGCCACTCCTTGCTGATCAATTCGAATTCCGTTTCGGGCATTTTGGGCAACGACTAATTTTGGCTGCTGAATATGTCCCGAAACACCCAAATTCACACTTTGCAAAGGAGGGATATTTTTTGTTGAGTGTAACGATTACACTATTGTTGTGTAGTTATTGTTGTTGTTGTTGTGAAATAAGATGTGTGTTTTTGTTTTTGTAGTTGATGTTGATGTTGGGGTCTTTGTATAGTGTGTAGTATTGCTGCTGCTGCTGCTACTGTTGTTATTCTTCTTCTTCGCTCCTCCTGCTTCTCCTCCTCCTCTTTTGCACTGCTTTTGCTGCTGCTGCTGCTGCCGTTTCAATATTTTTTTCTTATTATATTTTCGCTGTTTGTTTGTGTCAACTTGACATTACTCATGGCTTTTTCTTCTTCTTCAAGAACAGCAACAACAAGAACGACGATGAACGAACGATAGATTACTTTTATTTTTGTAATAAAAACACTGTTTTGTTGTTTTTCTTTCCTTTTTGTTTTTGGTGGAAAAAAAGACTGTTGTTTTTTTATTTTATTATTTTCTAATGTGTATTAAGCGGCTGCCTTTGTGGAACTTATTTTTTTTAATTCACTTCAAATTATTTTTTATTTATTTTAAATCGAACTCAAAAACATTTACAACGATTTGTTTTACGAAAAATTTTGTTTTTTTTTTTTGTAATTTTTCTAATATTTTACATTAAAAAATAGGTATTTTATCATGTTGTGCTTTATCTTATTTTTTTTGTATTTGTTTGTGCTTTACTTTTTTTTGTTTGTTTGGAGATTTTGCTGCTACTTCCTTTTTGACTTTTCCTTGTTGGAACACAAAAACAACACTTTGTTGTATCTTGTTTTTTATTTTTTTTTATTTTTCTTCTTAAACACCAGAATTTTCTGCTTTACAAAATGTTGCTGCTGCGTTGGGTTTCTTTTCTTTTGTGAGATTTTTACAAATTACTAAAAAACGAGAGTAAATCTTTTATTTAATTCTTTTCCATTTGTTTTGTAATGCGGTTTTGTGTTAATTTATGCAAATTTATTTTATTATGATTTGTGTTTTGTATATTTTTTGGTATTGAATTAAAATTTTTGTTTTGTTCAAAGGCACACCACACCAGAGAGCGAGAGCTACCATACGTCGCGTAGAAAACAAACCATCAACGACTACAGCCACGATTGAAGTGATTTTTATCCAATTCAATCCAACACTTTGCATTGTGTGGTGCTGGCTGTGTTGTGTAGCCTGCCGCCGCCGCAGCAGCAGCAGCAGAGCGAACAAACGAGTGAGCAGCAGAGCTCCACAGAGCAGAGAGTTGAGAATAACAACAAAAAAGAAATTACCAAAGGCACACTCACATAACACTGATACCCATAACAATGGCATGGAGAGATGCCATATGGTTTCGATTTGGAAATCATAGAAATGCCCAAAATAGACCATTTCAGGGGGGTAAATGCATATTCAGTAGTATTTATGACGTTGTTTTTCGGCATAATTAAATTAAACAGCCAATTTTGGAAACAAAAGAGAAGTTTATGTTGGAGAAGAACCACTTTCATGTATATTCCCTTGGAAGAGAAACAATTTATCAGACAAATGTGGTCTTCGGCGATTAGAAACTTTTCTTCCACAAGGTGTAAGAATCGTTATGTTTAAGCAAAAGGTTTTTATATATTAACTTAAATATATATACATAATGCAGTCAATTCTAAGCCCCTCATCCGACAGCTGTTAAAATTATTACAGCGACAGCTCATTATATTGTTTACAAATATCCTGGCTTCATATATATAACCAACTTCAGACTGCAGTCATTTCTAAGCCACTCGTCCGTCAGCTGTTAAAATTATTCCAGTGACAGCTCCTTATATTGTTTATAAACGTACAAAAGCATTTTGGTGAGAATTTTCCAGAAAAAAAGTTATTCGTGATGGAATTGAAATCCACAGGTGGCTATCGTTAGAGCACTCCAGCATTTAAATGTGAATAAACCTTTTGTTACCGTGATACTGGTAGCGTATCTCGACGTCAAGGAAGAGGACAGAAGAAAACAGCAACATCAGCAGAAATGGTTCGAAAAGTAAAGAAGCGACTTGATCGAAACCCGCGTCGCAGTGGCCGAAAAATGCCTCCTGAGCTGAACATATCGCAATATTCCATTTCCGGCAAATATTTAAAAATGAGCTCGAGGTAAAGCCTTTGAAATTCCAAAAAGTGCAAGAACTTGCACCGCAACAGAAAGAAAATAGCTAAAGAGTTGTTTCGCTTGGCCGAAAGTGGTGAACTGCCGGATTTGGTTTTCTCCGATGAGAAAACATTCGTTGTCCAGCAGTTTGTAAACGTACTATATGATCGTGTTTATTTGCCAAAGAGGTCACCTGAAAATGTGCACCTTCGGTTGGCCACCAGAATTCAAGCGCCGGCCATGGTGATGGTGTGGGCCGCCATAACAGCCGATGGTCGCTCTCCGCTCGTATTAATCGACCGTGGCATCAAAATAAATGTCGAAATATTCTGAAGGGTGTATTAAAGCCTTGGCCACGCAAACATTTAGGCCGCAGACCTTGGACATTCTAACAGGACTCAGCACGCCCCACCCAAGAATGGTTACAAAATGAGGTTCCTGGCTTCATTTTCAGCGCAGAATGGCCACCATAATCTGGAGTATTTTGGAAAGCAAGGTTGTTACTAAAAAATACCAAAGTGTCGATCACCTCAAGCTAGCGTCCGGGAATGGGCCAAAATACCGCAGAGCAACATTCGGGCAGCGTGTGACGGTTTCATTGGCCGTTTGAAGGCCATAATTCGTGCCAAAAGTGACCAATTCCAACAAATCAAAAATTATTCTAAGATTTGATGCTATTTCTGACATTTTTTGCTTTCATTCAATAAAATTTAAGAAAAATGTAAAAAGTTGGCGTTTGGTTTTGTTCCAGATTTTCTTTATCTCGCCCTGTATGTTTTCTTGTTCCTGTCATTCCATTTTCATTGCCTAAAATTTGTCCATTTATCCTTCCAGTGTTAGACAAGAACAGTTTTCGAATATTTCCTCTACGAGATGAGAATCATAAAATGACTAGTTTCCTTCAGACATACAGGACGACTAAAACAATTTTTCTGTGAGATAAGGATTGTTTTTGACCACATTTGCATATTTTTCAATTACTTTGGTTGTTAGAAACTGGAATCAGGAGTTTTCCAACATGGACCAATTTTGCTAGTTCATTTGAACTAACATTCCCAATTTATACGGCAACGCTGGCACAGCCACCAACACCACAACATAAGTGGGATTGTGCTGGCGTTTGTGGGGGAAAACGTTACTTTGTGAGGTACGAGCAGGTAGGTACGAGATATGCTTGAATTTTCCACAAGCCGTTTCCCGTCGCCACACGAAAACACACAACTCTTTTTTTCAACAGTTTGTTTTTACAGAGCAGCTGATGTAGCTACATCTCAACTTGTTACTCTCTTGCTTCGGCTAGAATCTGATTACAACGCTGTCATACACACAACTTGTGTCCGTATCGGCGGCGACAAGTAAAAGTCTCCACTTATCGGTGGAGGCAACAACAAAAAGCCACAACATTTGTTCACCAACAACAAAACGAATACAACAACATTCTTTTTCATTCATTCAATTCGTTGAGATTCGTTGTGTTTTATTTGTTGTGAGTGCGCACGTGAGTCAGTGTGTGTGTGTGTGAGCAAATGATTTTGGTTCCTGTCATTCCATGAGATACATCATCCAATGTTACTCACAACCACCGCAGCAAGTATCTACTCCGTTGTGTATCTCATTTACATGCAGATGCATGGATACATACGTGATTTCAGTGGGATTCTCAGAGCAAGTGGTAGAGATTGAGAGCAGTTTGTTCTGAGATTGTCTTTTCCGCTCGGTATCTCTCTCTCCTTTTCGTTCTCTGCCTCTCCTCCGTCGTGTGTATTGTTTGCGTTTTTGTATAAGTTCATTGATATTTTTCCTTATTGTTTGTGGCATTGTGTGTATGCGGGTGTATGTGTGTGTGCATGTGTGTGACAATTCATTGAAATTTTTCAAATCATTACACACAGATACTCTTTTGTCCGCTGCCAAAGTAAAGCAGAGTCTGTCTCATCATAACAGGTTTATTGTATACAAAAAAGGCAATGCACTGGGGGTTGCCACCCGTTTACACAGTGCCAATTGAATGGGGTTAATGAGGAAGAAAAAATTGGAGACAATAACACAATTTTAGCTTTGGTAATTTCAGTAAAGTGTTAGAATTGTCTGATTTAAACATTTCTATAGAAATCTGTTAAAAAGTGTCTTCCGAAAAAAGATATATAATTTCCGATTAAAAATGTATTTTAATGATCAATAACTCCATATTTATTTAGTTATTTCCTGCTGTTGAAACTTGTTTTTTCGTATATAAATATGGCATATAACCCCGATCTAGCCCTTCTCTCTAAATTAATAGCTTTTAGTCACATTTAGCTCATTTTATATAAACTATTTTGTCCCTTGGGCCTCCAGAATATCTTTTTCCCGTTTTCTAACTATGCAGATGCAATTTACTTTACACATTTTGATAACTCCCTTAAAATAAATTCATGTCCATTTAAATATGCTGATTTTCGTCGCTTTCTTTTCTAGCGGCCTAAAATATCACATTTGCCATCAAAAATTGGGAGCATTTTTTTAGAAAAGGACCAATCAGAAGTTTTTTTCTGTAAGGAGTATTTATCTCTCCGAAGTGTATTTCCTGGCAAAAAATAAACAATATAACAAATAAAATTTAAACTCGTCGATAACAAAAGGTCAATAAATCGATTGATAGAAAGTCGACCTACATATCCCTAATATAAACCTCGTTTACACTAAATTCTCTTTCTGAACCATAGAAAGCAATTCTTCCAAGCGAAAACTTGGCAGGAGTATGTGGTGAGATCACATAAAGGGCTGTGGGTGAAATATATAAAGCGCATATTTGGCTGGCTTAAGTCATCGGCTGGCTTCTTCGTAGATGAACAAAGAAGTTTTAGGTTGACTTAGATCGATTTTGGCCCTAGGCTCCTTTCATTCATGTTCCGAAGAAGCCAGCCGATGACTTAAGCCAGCCAAGTAAGCGCTTTATGTATTCCCAGCCTTATGTCATCGGCTGGCTGACTAGTTCGATTTTGGACCTACGCTCCGTGGTTCTTTTTCGAAGAAGTCTGCTGATGACTTAAGCTAGTCAAAAAAGCGTTTATCGCCTTTATCTTCTCTCTCTTCAAAACTTTTTCAAAAACTTCCATTTGAGCATATATAAATGTATTCTCCTTGGGTGTAGCGATTTTTTTCAGATAATCCAAAGGGAAGACCCCTTGAACTTTTAACAAGTCTAGGTTGCCAGAATATACACACACTTCTTCTTTTAAAAATTCAGCCTCGTGTTCTATGTTATACTATAAAAAAAATAGCCTCTAGTTCTATAGAAGCATTCTCGCCTTTATTAAGTCCCCACTCTTCTATATCTCCTAGGGAGTCATTTACAAAAAATTGTATTTTATTGAAATTTCCCTTGGAAAATCTAGCCATTCTACACCAAATTTCCTAACCTACCCCACTTTTATGGTAGTTTAAGAAACACTCCTCACTAATTTATCATTTTTGCCTAACCAAGCATAGCGCCCGGGTTAATATCCATCCACTTTGGAAATGTACATTCACTTGAAAACTTGAAGTGGCTTTCTAAATTATGTTCACCCGTTTGCCGTCAACCCCAAGCACTATTATCAAATGGGTATCAGCTCTTAGGCTCCCTGTGCCGCTTCTCTGGCAAGAACCTCTCTCTTGCTGTGGGGATACCGTGTAATTTCTAAAAGGGGGAGAAGGTGTTTTGTCACTTCCTTATACAACAAACACAGATTCTGTCTTCTTTTGAGGCTGTCACGATTTCGCTTGGTGGGCAGGAAAGAAAAATGTATCCTTCAACTTAAGATTGGTTGTCTGAGCCGTGGAGTGGAGTTCGTGCAAGAAAGCTTCCTTAAACCCAACATTTAGGGGGCTGCTGCGCTATACTTTGTGGCAGAGAGTTTACTGCCTACTCTCGCAAAAGAAAATAATGGCGAAAAACAACTCTATTTTGTTTTTCCTTGACTTTCTCTATTTTGGAGACCCAAAAACAAATTTAAATTTATATCCATGACCCTGATACTTCAAAAGCAAGGCA